CCCCTCTGGTCCCTGGGCGCCACTGAGTCTGCAAGCTGCTTCAGGGAAGGGTGGGTCCAGCCTGTTTTGTTCTGGGTGTTGGGTGGGGCCCTGGGCTCCCTGAACCCCACCCCCACCCCCACCCTGACTAACCTCCCTGGGGTGCTCAGCTTAAGAGGCCAATCAAGGTGTGAGTCCTTGGGGCTTTGCCTCCTGTGTTTGGGGCCGGAGGAAACAGGCCCGGGACGGGGTTGAACTGGCTGCAGTGGCAGAGCCGGGATTCGAGCTCGTGGCTGCCCATGGCTGCCTGAGCAGGCAGGCGTGCTTTGAACCCAGGGGGGCCGGAGTGGTGGCGGACCATCCTCACCTCCTTATCCCTCTCACCACCTGCTGGCCCCAGTTGGGCAAGTCCCACAGCCAGCCCCCTCGAGATGAGAACGGGGCACTGGTTGGATTGTCTGAGTCCAGGGGTTCGAGACCAGCCTGGGCAACTTGGCAAGACCTTGTGTCTCCCATAAAATAAAAAAATTAGCCGGGTGTGGTGGCGTGTGCCTGTAGTCCTAGCTACTTAGAAGGCTGAGGCGGAAGGATCGCCTGAGCCCTGAAGGTCGAGGCTGCAGTGGTGTGAGCGACACTCAAGCCTGGGCAACAGAGTGAGACTCTGACTCAAAGAAAAACCAAGGTTTATTTTTTAGAAACACTCTGTCACCCAGGCTGGATGGAGTGTAGCGGCACAAACATAGCTTTGGTAACTTTGACCTCCTGGGTTCAAGTGATCCTTGAGTGCCTGAGTAGCTGGGACTACAGGTGTGAGCCACCATGCCTGGCTAACTTTTATTTATTTTAGATACTGGGGATCGGGGAGTCTTCCTTTGTTGCCCCGGCTGGTCTCGAGCTCCTGGCCTCCCACATCGACCTCCCAAAGTGCCGAGATTATAGGTGTGAGGCCCCTGCCCCGCCAGAAATGTTTGTCTTGAATGAGATCTTACAAACCCCAACATTAAAACAGCTGTGTGGGGGCCCAGAGGGAGTGGGTGGCTCCTTTGTCCCTCGGTCCTGGGCTCTGTGGGGCCGTGTGTGTGCATGGGACCCTGGACAGACTGCCCTGAAGGTCTCTCACGCTGGGAGCTGGGGGAAACGCCCATCCCCTGCCTCAGGCCAGCCTCCAAAGAGGGGGCTTCTCACTTGAGATCCTGGCCAGCCAGGGAGCAAGAAGGCAAGAGGTGGAACTAGCTCTCCAGGTGGGCGGGGCTAGCCCTCCACATGTGTTCACACCCACAGGCCAGCCCTGAACCCCAAAGACCCCCCCAACCTGTAGAACACGACCCAGTGGCAGACGTCCGCTCCGGCCCCTCCTGCAAGCCTCGACTTGGTGGGCACCTCTTGGGGCAGCCGCAGGGGGCTCACACCCCGTCACCCCACATTAGGGGTGGGTGTGGCCACAGAACCCCACAGGTGGAATACGCTCAGAGATGGGGAGCAGGCAGGCACTTCCCCGCCGCCATTCCACGAGCACCTCTAAGGTCTGCGTTGTCTGTGATGTGCACACAGCAAAAGCCTGTTCCCCCTTTCTTGGAGACCTCTATGAGCTGAGGGGTTGCCCCAAACTTTCTGAGCCCCAGGCTGAAGTGACAGCATTTCATCTTTATTTGTCTTTGCTTTGTTTTTTTTTGTGAGTTGGAGCCTCACTCTATCGCCCAGACTGGAGTGCAGTGGCCGCTCCCGGCCACCGCAGCCTCGACCT